ATCGTTGAGTGAGAGCAGATGCCTTGGCATCCTATTCTGTTAGGTTCCTCTGAGAACACTTTAGGAAAGCCCTGTCGAGTAAGTGAAGTCCAGAAAACTTAAATATACTTGAGAAATAAGTTTAGCATCCTTAGATCAATCCCTACCATTCATTCCAATGAAAGCTTGTCACGTGAGGATTATCTTCTTTTTATTTTATTTTCTATTTATTTACTGTTTTTTACCATTTTCCTTTGCCATGACATTTCCTTTTGTTACTCATACACATTTCATTTGCTTCAACATAATCATTTGTGAATACCATTATCTATACTTAATTACTTTAGAATAGTGCATAAACTTTACTCAATATCCTTCCAATCCCTGTGGAGACGATACTCACTCATCACTTTATTACTTGAGTGATTGTGTATACTTGCACATTATTTGCGTATAATTTTATAGTACTCACAATACGCGAACAATGTTCATTCACAGTCGTAACTTCCTCCTCATTATTATCAACAACATATTCCTCGACAACGGTTGTTTCATCATCAAAATTCGGGTATTGACCAATATCAAAATCATTATACGCAGGGTCTGTTTCTTCTTCTGAAACATCATCAAAATCCGAGTATTGACCAAGATCAAAGTTCGGGTATTGACCAAGATCAAATTTCGAATACTGACTAGTACTCACAATTTTTTCTGTTGGCTCATAATCGTCTAACTAGTCAATACAAACCGGAATTTGGTGCTGAAAGTTGATTAGGATTTGGATTAGGAAAAGGTTGCGGGTTTTGAGATTATGTTTGATATTGTGTTTGGTATTGGAAATGTGGTGAAACAAAATTTTCTTGGTGATGAAATTGTGGTGGAACCATTAAATTTTGAGGTTGATAACAACATTGTACATTGTGAGCACCATAAACTGGGGTTGAAGAACTTAGTTGATTACTACCCGCTACTGACCCAACTTCACTAATTCTAGGTTCAACAACATACAATGTAACATCATCTTCTTGCGAAACACTAATGTAAGCAATAAATCGTTCAACATTTTCATTATCGGTTAACAAATAAACTTTACATTTTCTCTGATAAGATAGCCTAAATCCACTTAGAGGCTCTAAATTCAATTTCTTTGCAACACGTAACATTAGAGTTTCATAAGTTAACTTTTTTAATAACAGTTTTAGTTGAAGATTCATGAGTAAATGCATATATTGTAAAACACCATGAACATTCTCCCATAACCCTCCAAAACACAAATCTATCCAAACATGATCAATATTATATGATTTCATTATACAAATTGTAAATTAATTTACTAAACAAACGAGCTATAAACTACATATCATCACTAACTTAGAGAAAAACATACCTTTATTAAGTTGATAGTTGATAATTTGGGAGAGAAATCATTGAAAAATTATATAGAAATAAAATTATGTAAAAAACAATTAGAAATGGGGAAGGATGTCGTTGGATATAGGAACGGATGTCGTCGGAAAGAGTGATAGATGGAGATGGAATGAGTTGCGATTTAGGGATTTAGGTTATGAGTTGTTGCTGCTGCGTAGTTATATACCCAAAACATTTGTGTTGCGAAACTAAAACCTGTTGCGAAATTAAAATTCGTGTTGCGAATTTGAAATTCAGTGTTGCGAATTTAGAAAATCGCAATGTGATTTACATATTCGCGTTGCAAATTTGGAAACTGAGTTGCGAAATTAGAGTTCGCGTTGCGAATTTGTTGGTCATTTTCGCAAATCCAAAAAAAGTTGGTTAAAATCGTATATTATAAGACATTTTCGGTCACTGAAGTTATTTTCTAATCGTACATGGCCGGATATTGTGTTCTTCTTAATAGATAGTTTCTCCCCAAAAATCGTACAAAGGCCATCCTTTGTTACCTAACCCAAAGTTGGCATTTTTAGTCATTCTTATTCTCCCACTCTCTTTTAATTCATTTCTTATTCCCCGTTTCCTCTGATTTGTGGTACCATTTCTTTCTTTTTGTTGGTTTGGTGTACTGTTGCTTCATCAATGCCATTTCTTTTCTTCTTGTGTTAAATCCAAGGTGATGCAGATTTTCTTCTTTATTGGAATGTCGAAACCAAAGTGCATTGATTGTTGCAAGCATCAACTTTCATCAAGTATTCATGGAATCAAAACTTTCAAGTCGTATTGGTAATAAGAAAACATGTTCAATCCATGCTTGGAAAATCTTTAAGTTTCAATGATGTGAAGGTGAAGACAAGGTGACAATCTCGCAGTTTCAAAAGGCCTGCTTCAGATCCAAAAGTAATGGAACCAAATGGTAGCGGGAATATACTGCTTGAGAATCTTCAAGCTTGAAGACTCCTCCTACCTCTATTGAAACAGAAAGCTGTATGAAATTGAATAACGATAACGCCGAGGAAAAGCGGGGTTCGAACTTCACTGTGCACGGAGGACGACAAGACCAGGCTGCATTAAGGTTGCAAAAGGTGTACAAGAGCTTTCGGGCAAGGAGACAACTAGCAGATTGCGCTGTTGTTGCTGAGCAGAAATGGTCTCTTTCAATCTTTTGCGCACTCTTTCAAGATATGTTGGCAACCTTGAAGTAGTTTCATGCGTCCCAACTTGATATTTTAACTTTCATAATCCATTTGTAGGTGGGAGTTGTTGGACTTTGCTGAGCTTAAGTGAACCTCTGTATCCTTATTCGAAATAGAAAAACAGAAGACCGCCGTTTCACTGTGGTCTCGTGCTAGGACAAGAGCTGCCAAAGTGAGTTGAGTTGTGAAGAAGGTGATCGGTTGAATTATGTTGGGTAATGGTGTTGAATGTTGTCTTCTTTTGCAGGTCGGAAGAATTATCTAAAGACGAAAAGGCTCGAAAGCTTGCTTTGCAGCATTGGCTCGAGGAGGTAATTATATAAAAGCTTTCATTAACCATGTTTTCTTGTTCCTAACAGATTGATCATAGGCATCGTTATGGTCATAATCTCCAATTTATTATACAACATGGCTTCAATGTGAGAGTCAACAGCCATTTTTCTATTGGTAAGATTTCAATGGAGTAAACATAAAAAGAAGGTATTTTTTTGGAAACCAATCCTTTTGTTTCCGAAATACAGGCTTGATATCGGAGATGGGAGAGAAATGAGTCTTGAAAAGTGCCCTCGATCAAAGCTTCAACAGCAATGCATCAAATATCTTGGTCCTGTGAGTTTAATCTACCCTTTAATTTTCCCTTTGAAACAACCTTCAAGTTGAAGCCATTGTTGTGGATTTGCAGGCGGAAAGGGATTCTTTTGAAGTGGTAATAAGGAATGGGAAGTTCGTTTACAAGCAGAGCGGGCAAGTTGTGGATACCACAGGTGGACCGACAGATGCCAAGTGGATTTTTGTTCTTAGTGCATTTAAGAATTTGTATGTGAGAATCAAGAACAAAGACGCGTTCAGCATTCGAGTTTTCTGGCGGAGCAACGTTGTCTGCCAGAAGACTGATAGTGGAAGACGGTGTTTTGAAGGCGATCTGGCCTCACAGCGGACAATATCTCCCGACAGAAGAGAATTTCCAAGTATTCGTTTCGTTTCTTCAAGAACACAACGTTGACCTCACAAATGTCAAGGTAGAGAACACATTATTGTATTTTTTTTCATGCCGTTTTGGCCAAAAATCTCTCCTTGGAGGACACTAATGCAACTCTTGTGACGGTTTTAACAGCAATTCTCTTCTGAAGATGACGAAGCCTTTAGCAGAAAGAATAGTATGCTTAAGGGAAATGCACCAGAACAGGAAGGCTCGAAACACATTGAGGAAACAAATAATGAAAACTCAATTCAGGCCAACACTGATTCAGAAGAGCATGATTCTGATGCTACCAAAAATGCCAATAAATCCATGTCAATATTGTCTCGGGCATTATGCTCCAAAATAAGAGAACTTGAAATAGCAGCAAAAGATGATGTGGTCGACATCTGTGAGACTGAACCCGTGGAAGAAGGTGGCTATGAAACATCGGAAGAATGTTTATCGGAAGAATGTTTATCAGAAGAAGATTTTCTGTGCACTAAGACCTATTCGTTCGGTGAAAATGCTGAAGGACCAGAGCCATATCAGCTAGCTCAACTGTTATCATGCAAGTGGTCATCAGGCGTGGGGGCGCGCATTAGCTGCAGAGGGACTATCCTTCCGAGCTTCAGAACCAGGTTTTAGAGCATGCACTCTTATCCCAAACAACAAGCAGTGCCGTTGCATCTCCTCGGACACCTTTTAGCCCCGTTGCGTCTACTCGAACATCGTTAAGTAAAGGAACGAGTTTCTGTAATTTGTTCACTTGAACACATCCCCATAGCAAGCGAGGGAATGGGAAAAAGCAAAAGCCTATGCTGTTTTGAAATACTTGTGTGATTCTGGTTATGGTTAGAACAGAAGATATGGGATCCGTTTCTTCTTTGTCTTCTGTTTTGTTTTGTTTTACGAGTGTGATTTTGATTATGGTTACAACTCATTTATTTTGTTATGAGTTATTTGAGCATTGAATTCATAATATTATAGTTGTTGAATATAAATTATTATTATTATTATTAGAGAGAGGGATAAAGTCAATATTTATAATGAAAAATAACAATAGAAGATTATTTCTAAAAATTTGATTTGTTCAATGAAAAAGCATATACATAATAGAGTTGATGTTGAGCGGGTATTATGGGATATCTCCTCCTGATCACACGCTAGATAAGTATAACTAAAGTAGGTTTTTTTAACAAAGCAAAAAGCAGATTATATACTTAATCAGCTTTGTAAATCACATTATAAATTCTCTGTTTCCTTTTTGCCTTTAATTTCTTCACATCTTTGGACGTGATTTTTCACACAAATCATGAGTTTTTAGAAAAAGAAGTTTTTTATTATCAACATTCTAAATGTAAAATAAACATATAAATAATTATCTATTTAAACATTTTATTAATGATATTTCAGAGTGATTCTTATTAGTTGATTTCAGCCCTTGAAACTCCATCATGTCCAAGGTCATGAAAGAACCGACCAGCGAAGTCTCTTTGCAGAAGGGTAAGAATTTGCTTTCATTTTTCCTTCCTTTAGAAAAAAAAATATTTGTTACTATCTGTAGCATTCTTGAGCATTTTTTAATAACAGTTTTACTATGGAATTTAGATAGCGATCGAATAATAGTTTTTTGTATAACGATAATGACATTGTTTGAAATTATTATTATTGAAAACAGTAGCGTGAAGTGGAATCACACCAATAATGATAGATCACGACTGTAATTAATGGTCAATTATGATAATAATAAATTGTTCTATAATTATTATGTTTTATAATAAATTGCGAGAATTTAGAAAAAAAAAACTGTGCTACATTAGTAGTGATAAACATAATGCAGTTAAAAATGTGACCAAACCACAACCACAATTTAAAACATTCATCTTAACGGAAGCAAAGAAAACAGTGATACTAAGAAGTTTTCAGTGGTTTTTGGCTTAGGGGTATTTTTCATTTGGTTTTCACAGGTATGGTGACAGCGGCCGCAGCCCCGGCGAGCACCATTAATAAAGAGAAAGATCCGACCCAACCATACCATGAAGTCAAGCTCTTCAATCGCTGGAGCTTCGAGGATCTTTAGGTTTTTTTTTTGGTACTGTAAGTTTTTGCTTTTGTAGGTTACTTTAATAAATTAGTTCATTGATTTTAGGTAGCTGACATCTCTTTGAGTGACTACGTCGGCGTTCAAACCTCCAAGTACGCTACCTACGTTCCGCACACAGCCGGTAGATACTCGACTAAGCGATTCCGAAAGGCTCAGTGCCCGATCGTCGAGAGGCTTACGAACTCGTTGATGATGCACAGTCGAAACAATGGGAAGAAACTCAAGGCAGTTAGGATCGTGAAGCATGCCATGGAGATGATTTACCTCTTGACTCATCAGAACCCAATTCAAGTCATCGTTGATGCCATTGTTAACAGGTATGCACTCGAATCACCTTGTTTCAAGTTGTTGATTATTATTGATAAAGCTTTGTTGTTTTCTGGTTGATGATGTAACCAGAGGACCTCGTGAAGACGCTACTCGTATCGGTTCTGCCGGTGTTGTAACTTGTAAGGCGTCAGGCCGTCGATATTTGTCCTCTTCGTCGTGTGAATCAGGCCATCTATCTGCTAACAACCGGTCCCCGTGAGTCTGCGTTCAGAAACATTAAAACCAACAGGTAATTAAATGAACTCTTTTTTTCCTTCGAAAGTAGTTAGCAGATATTTAAAAAGTCGTCAGACAGTGGAATAACGGTAGCAGCGTCGTTTGAAATTACTATCATAGAAAATAACAGTGTGAAGCAAAATACACAAATAGCGATGAATTAAATCTCAATTTGACGGGTAACTATCAATAGCGAGTCGCTATTTCCGTAATTGTTCTATTACGGTAAACTTCAAAAGAATATAAATTTATTGTGACAGTTAAAATTATTATGATTAATAATAAGTTACACGAATTTAAGAAAATCACTATACAATATCTACAGTGATTTCAACCGTACTTGTTATATTTGCAACCGTTATAAACTAATATAATTGAAAATACAATCTCAACCATAATTTAAATCTCTGATAGTAAATGTTTTATCGTGTGTGTTCTATGCTAATTTCTTGTAATCTATGTGGATATGTGTAGCTATGCCATCAAGAAGAAGGATGAAATTGAGAGAGTTGCCAAGGCAAACCGTTGAGGGAGGTCTTTGAAGAAATAAATTAACCATTAGCAGTGGATAAATTAACTGTTACATTTATTCATCTGAGATATTTCAAATTATATATAAAATCACTACAATCAATCATTAATATTAATATGTGATAATAGTAAGTTATGTCATTTCTTTTTCGAGTTAGAACGAATTTCTTATTCGATGAATATCGAATTTCTTCATTCAATGTATACGATTTATTCTGAATTTAAATTACGATTTGTTCTGAATTTAGATGATTAATAATGAAAATTTATCGTAATTAAAAAAGTATTTTCCAAAAAACACAATTCAATTATTTGTTCTTCCTCACTCAGAAAGCAACTAATACACACAAAAAATCACTATATAAAAGGAAAAAGAACATATGAAATGCTGCATATACACTTGCACACCCCAGACCACTATTGTTGATGTACAACATGGGTTTGGTGGTTTATGATAGTTCAATAGATTAAGGATACATATGATTGATTGACTTCTTATGGTTCACATCATAAAGGCAGAAAACTATCGATCAATAATTTTTTTGTCTATTTTGTTTAATATTAATAGATCAACTAGTAAGTGTGAATGTGTGATTAGATATGTTGAATATGATTTAAGTTTAATCATGTGAGAATTAAATGCAATTGGTCAAACAAATAAGATTTTTGAGTCGAGAATAGGAAAATAAAGATTAAAAGTGAAGCAAACACATTTGGCTGGTTTTGAAAAATTAGGTCATGATTTATCAATTTATCATAAAATATAATTTATCATTAATTTTAATTAGTTTGATATCATGACACATTAATAAAAGGGATAGTGTATAATTTATCCCTTAATTATAATTAAAATATTAATTGATCATACTTTTTAAAAAATAACATTTAATCTCTTTATTTTTATCAATTTGATCTTAATTCTAAAAATTCAAATAAATTATAAAAAAATCATAAACAATTTTAAAAATTCTAAAACACTATTTGTTAAAAAAACAATTTTTAAAAATAAAGCCCGAGTATGATTGAGTCGGAGAATGGTTTCATTTGATGACTCTACAACAACAACTTGAATACAAGAACTACTACCATCAAATGACAACCTCGCAGACTGTCACACTACCTCTAATAGGGGTGTTTAAAATCAATTACCTGAAATACTGAATACTCCCAATTTTTGGTTATCAAAATACCGACTCTTGTCCCGGCCCATTAATTGTAAAATCCAGGTATTCATATTTTCGAATTACGAGTACTCAATTCATTTTTTTTTCTTTAATTATACTATTTAAAAAAATAATTACATAAAAAATTCTAAAATTTAAAGGTCTATAATACTACTCTACTCATTAAATTTAAAAATTTAAATTATATAATTAAAAGATAAAACTTATTAACAAAAATATAATTAAATTTAAAATATTTTAAAGTTAAAAGAAATAATTTAGATTGTTACGTTGAAATAATTTAAAAAATTAATAATTTAGAATGTTATAGTAAAATGGTTTAAGAAATTAGGAATTTAAAATATTATGGTGAAATAATTTGAGAATTATAAATAAAAAATTTAATATAAAATAAAATATATATAAGAAACCGGGTTGGCGGGTACCCGGTTAAAGGATATTTTGTGATCCAGGACAGACCCAAAAACCCGGAAAAAATAGCAGGTTGGGTATCCAACCCGAAAAATCATATATTTTTATTGTAAATATCTGATTTTTTAACTGGGTCGACGAGTCAAATAATTCAGGTAATATATTTTTACAATCCCTAACCTCTACATATAATATTGTCTAACCGGAAGTAACTGATACATACACAGGTTGTTACCTTGAAATACATGATATTATCACTTTGATTTTGCAACCCAAGGAATGCAAATGGCAGAATTTACACGTTTCAATCCCTCATCTATCAAACACTAATCAAAACTTCCAATCCTTAAGCAAATTAGCAAACAAAAACACCAAAAATCAACGGCAGTTCCCCACATTTACATCATCTTTTCATTACTTTTGGCCCTTCAGCTATCAACAGCTAAAACCTTTAAATCAGAGGCACCAATCAACAGAAATTCATCCAACGTTTCAACGACAATTCCAAACCCATCTCCACTGCATTTTTCACCCCTTAAAATGCTTCATTCTCCACTGTCTTGCAATCCACGGCACAGAATCTCCAGTACTTGACGCCTTCGATGCTGAAACCCGACTTCACCATCACGCCGTTGTACAAATTTCATGGCCAAGGTGCCACCATTTGTTCAAAGTGGCTTAATATCGCAGATGACAAGGGTAATTTTGTTGTGCGACGGCTTAATCTTAATATTAATTTGTAATGAATTTTAACATAAAATATTATTATGTCTAACCTAAAAGGTTACACAATTGATAATAATTTTGTTTACAATCGAAAATGTTATATTTCGACGAGTTTTAACCTAAAATATTACTTATATATTCTAAAAAATTATACAATTAATAATAATTTCAGTTATAAATAAAAAATTTTAACGATAACTTTTTATATTGTAACTGGAATAATTTTAAACCTTACATAATTTGTTATAGAGAACATGACGTTTTAGTTTCAACTTAAAATGTTAATTTATTTTAAAATATTACATTATTTGATAAAATTTTCGATTACAATTTATTTTATAATTTTATATTAATCCATTGTATTTTATATTCATCCTATACGCTAACAGTGCTTGGATCGAAGTTGGTACTGTTATTGGTTAAATTTATTACAAGGATTTATGAAAATAAAAAATAAGATTCATGGGTCACCTGCAGGTTTTTAACTAGCCTAGGCGTTGGTAGCTAAATCAAAGGAATTTTTTAGGTTGCCAAATAATTTGTATATTGCTAAATGCTATTTTTAAAAAAATAATCTTTCACAAATTTAAAATTACTTTTTAAATATTCATAATTTTTTCTATTTTCTTTAATTTTAATTTTTCAAAATAAAAATAAAAATAATAAAGTAAATTAAAGATTTTTTTTTATAATTAAAATATCAATTTGATGTTTCAATACCAGGGAGGGCTAAACTAGATATTAAATTTTGACTTCACCACCTCTCATCGCAGAACTTCCAACTCGTTTTCCACGTGTCTTTTTCCGATTTGTTTGTTACTATTTCATTTTTACATTTTCCGAAAACACCTTTTTCAATGAATAATAAAATGTCAATCTTAACCCTTCCACTGTAATGGCATTTTGGTTTACTTAACACCAGTTCGTTCTACTTTTGCTCTGTTTATTCCCTTCCTCAAAATTCCCTTTCCAAATTTATTTGATTTTTCTCTTTAGTTCCTCCGTTTTATGATCGGACGGTCCACATCTCGTTCCACTCATGACTTCGATGACTACTCCGCCGGTTGATGTACATACCATTCTCCCCTTTATTGACTTTCAATACATACTTTAGTATTTTTATTTGATTTTTTGTTCTTGGTGGCAGTGCTGAAATGATTTTTTAGAACTTTTCTTTTCTCTTTTCTTAATTTGACAAGTTAATAAATGGACGTGGATTTCGTGGAATTGATTGTGTTTTTCTTCGTGCACTGAGGGTGTAATAATTAGGGTTTTGTTGAGAGAGTTAGGGCTAGGTTTTGATTGTGAGATTTAAGTTACATTTTGGTTGATTGGAGCTTTTATATTTTGGAATTTTGGATTTTGGAACAGCAAGAAGACGAGGAGATGCTCGTGCCGCATTCGGATGTTGTCGAAGGACCTCAGCCAATGGAAGGTTTGTGTTTTTATTCCTTTAAAATACTCTAATAGACATTATTTTGTGGACAAGCTTAAGTTGGTCCAAAGTTGGGTTGTAATTATGGTGTGATAATGGACTGATAATTTGATTAGCTAGGTTGTTAGGGTTTTGTTATTATATACATTTTTTTTTATTTTTTGGTTTTGCCTAATTTTAGTTGCTCAAGGTGAGCCGGCTAGTACAGCTGAGAATCAGCAAGTGGAGGAACCTCAATCAATGAAATTCACTTGGACAATTGACAAATTTTCTAGGCTCAACACCAAGAAGCACTATTCAGATATATTTGTTGTTGGTGGCTATAAATGGTAAAGTGGGAATTTCTTTGTTGTTGTTATTGGAATATGTTTGATTGGTCTGGTTCAATCTGTCATGTGGTTGATTTTTGGATGATGCGTCGATTCTTCTGTTCAGGCGGGTACTAATTTTTCCAAAGGGAAACAATGTGGATCATTTGTCAATGTACCTCGATGTTGCTGATTCTTCTACATTGGCATATGGTTGGAGTAGATATGCTCAGTTTAGCTTGGCAGTGGTCAATCAAGTTCATTACAAATATTCGATTAGAAAGGGTATATTCTAACTTATTTTAGGTTTGGTGTTTTATATTAAGTAATAATTTATGATAGCGGCCTTTATTTCAAATCCTACACTTCCTCAATGTTCAATTTTGTCTCTCTTATGTAGCGTTCAAGTT